TGGGTTTCCTCTGGCCTTTTCCTGTCCCCCACCCAGTGCTGAGAGCTGGGGCAGAGGCAAAGGCTGGACGAGAACAGAGGGATCAGCACCTAAGCCAGGCCGAGGGAGCCAGGGCCTCCGGTGCTGCCGGACCCGACGCAGGGTAAGAGACAGGGACCCAGGGTCCAGAGCCCTCCTCCCTCAGGCCGAGAGTCTCTGGCCATCCCATCTGGGCACCCAGAGTCCTAGCTCCCATTCCCTCTCCTCCCTCCAGACAGAAGGGTCTGGGCCCCAGCCCCCTCCTCCCTCTGACTCCAGCGTCGAGGACCCCTCCATCCACCCCACCACACGGCGGCCTAAGAGTGGACCTAACCCACTGTCCCTCAGGGCCATGCTATCCGGCGACCGGAAGGAGGGCGGCAGCCCCCGCTTTGGGAAGCTCCATCTCCCCGTGGGCCTGTGGATCAATTCCCCCAGGAAGCAGCTGGCCAAGCTGGGGCGGCGCTGGCCGAGCGCTGCTTCTGTCAAGTGAGTGCCCAGCTCTGGGAACAACTGCCTGGCCCCGTCTGCCTCCTGTCTGCCCCTGCTTACGCCTCAGTCCCCTCACTGGGTCGTGCCAGGGACTTGCCAGGGCGGGCTTGGGTTCCTGACCTGAATGGGTCAAGCTGGCGGGAGGACGCAGCGACATCAGGGGCGGTGGGGGAAAGGCAGGGCCCTGGACAGAGTCGGTGACTGGGCACGGGGATGACAAGCAGAAGGCGCAGGGGTCTGATTCACCTTCCTTCCTCCCCTCCCTGCTCACCTCTGGAATTTCCTTCTGCGGGACTTGCTGTATTTCCTCTGTCTTTACCGCTGGCCCCTGCCCACCTCATCCCCCTTCCCACCCGGGGTCTCCGGCCCTTCCGTCCGTCCGTCCGTCCGGCTCTGCTCCCTTTCTCTCTGTGTCATTGTCCCTCCCCCTCTGGGTCTTTGCCCACATTCCTCCTCCTCGGACCCCCACCTCCGTCTCTATGGTCTTTCTGGGTCTCCCGCGTCTCTGTTCCCTTCTGGCTCCCAGGTCTTCGTCTTCGGACACGGGGAGCCG